TGCTTGTCTTGCGACCTAAAATGTGATCTCTTCTGGAGAATATTCCACACACTTTGGAGAAGAAGATATACTGCACTTGTTTGGGTTCATTAGCCTATATATATATATCTATGAAATCGAGTTGGTTTATTGTGTGGTTTAATTCTTTAGCATCTTTGTTGAGTTTCTTCCTGGTAGTTCTTCTTTTCCTGAGAGTGGCATATTGAAGTTTGCTATTACTATAAGGGGTGTTGTCTCTTTCCTTTTTTCAGTTTTGTTAATGCTTGTTTTGTATACTTTGTAGCTCTATCATTTGATGCATAGATATTTCTTATTGTTATGTCCTCTTGTTCTGTTGACCTTTTAAGCATTTTATAGTGACCTTCCTTGTCCTTTGTGATGGTTTTTGCATTGAAATCTACTTTCTCTGTGCTTAATACTTCTACTCCTGCTTTTTTCTGGTTGCCATTTGCTTGGTATATTTTTTCCCACTGTTTTATTTTTACTCTTTCTCTAGCTTCACTTTTCAGGTGTGTCTCTTGTAGACAGCATATTGGTGGATTCTATTTTTTATCCAATCTGCTATTCTTTTTCTCTTCAGTGGTGCATTTTAACCATTCACATTCAGTGTGATTATTGAGAGGGAAGGCTTTATTGCTATCATTTTATTGAGTTATTTTTGGTGGTGTTGCTGGTTACTTAAGCCTATTCTCCTTTCCTTGGCACCTCTGAAAGAAGGACATCTCTCAGTGTTTCCTGCAGTGCTGGTCTTGTTTTTACAAACTCCCATAGGTTCTGCTTTTTTGAGAATGTTTTGGTCTCTCCTTCATATTTGATAGACAGTTTTGGTAGGTATAGTATTCTTGGTTGACAGTTTTGTTCTTTGGATGTTTGAAATATGTTATTCCACTTTCTTTTTGCTCACCTGGTTTCTGCTTTCTTCTGATAAATCAGCATTTAGTTTTATTTGTTCTCCATTATAGGTTACTCGTTGTTTCTCCCTAGCTAGTTTTAGAATTCTCTCTTTACCTTTTTTGCTGGCAGATTTGCATATGGTATGCCTTGGTGTTTTTCTTTTGAGGTTTGTTGTATATGGTGTTTGCTCAGCTTCTGGAATATATAATCTCTCATTGTTCATTGTGCCTAGAAAGTTTTCTTCTAGTCTTGTTCCACAACTTTCTCAGTACCTTTATGTACTTCTTCCTGTTCTTAGATTCCAATTATGCACGTTTTTCCTCTTGATGGTGTCCCACATTATTTTTAGGCTTTCTTTTTTCCTTTCTTTTTGATTCTGGTTTTTGTTCTAGCACATCAGTGGTGACAATTCTATCTTTTATTTCACTGGTTCTGTGTTCCATCTCTTCAACTCTGTTCTTATGTACCTCCAACATGTTGACAGCATCTGAAACATTGGTTCTCACTTTTTGGATTGTGATTTCTTGTTTTTCCAAAGCCTCTAATCCCTCGTTTGTTTTATCTTCATTGTTTTGGATTTTTTTTTTTAAGTTCTCTTGGTTTTTGCTTGCAGTGTCCTGTAATTCTTCAAGCTTTTATTTCACTCATTGAAAATATCTAGTCATTGTTCTTTTAAATTCTGTGTCCGAAAGTCCATCAGACTTTCTGGCTTCAGGAAATCTATAGATAGTTTGTCACTTTTTGGGGATGACATCTTGTGTTGGATTTGTGTAGGGTGTGAGGTAGCCTTCTTCCTATGTGATATATTGCTGTGGTAGAGTTTTCCATGCCTGTGGCAATAGCAGGCTTTTGGTTTTATGTCACTGCTTCAGAGAAGTGTGGGACAGATACCCTCCCTGAGTTTCTGTCTGAACTTTTGACTCAAGGGAACACTTACTTCAGTTTGGGAGAGATAAGGCCTATGAATTAGCAGCCTTCTTTGTCAGACAGTTACTGCAGCTAGGCCATTCCTTTTGGAGGGGAGTGAAAATGAAATGGGTTCACCTGTGATACTGATATCTAAGTGGTTCATCCTCCAGGCATTCTGGCTGGGGCACCCTGGCTGTGGGGACAGGTCCTCCAGGTAGCAGGGTTGGGACTTCCAGGCAGCAGGGCCAGGACTTTGAGGTGGCAGTGGAGTGTACATGCAGCAATGCTGGGACTTACAGGCGGAGGGCCAGTCCTGGACTTCCAGACAGACGGCGAGGGTGTGTGTCCAGGCATCAGGGTAAGTTCCTTCAGGTGGCGGGTTCAGGGTTCCAGGCAGCAGGGCCGTAGGTCCTTCAGTTGAGGGGGCACCAGGCAACAGTGCTACAGTCTAGTGCTCGAGGCAAGAGACCAGTCTAGAACACACTAAGAAATTTTTAAGGCAGGTACCTAGTTAATTGACTGGATATGCAGCTTAGAAGTGATGCGTGCAGAAGCCTTTGTGTATTCTTTGGACCACTTCCATGTGTCAAGTATAATACTGAACAAATGTATGTAAATTGCAATATTATTAGTATAAATGACATGCAAATCTAAATTTGAGACTTGTAAATGATTTTGAGAAACAGAATTCTGTGCAATCAATGATTTACTCATAGCAAATACCTTTTATAAGAAACATAAATATAGGCTATCAACATGGATTTCACCTGATGGGATGCACAGAAATCAGATTGATTACATCTATGGAAGAAACCATTGGAGAAGTTCAATATCAGCAGTAAAAACTAGGCCATGTACTGATTGTAGAACAGACCATCAACTGCTCATATGCATATACAAGTTCAAATTAATACTAAGGAAGGTTAAATCATATCCACAGGAATCAAAATTTGACCTTCAGTTTATCTCCCATGAATTTACAAAACAACTCAGGCATCGTTGTGAGACCTTGAACACTAATGAATGAAGAACAGATAAGCTGTTGGAAGATATCAAGAATATCATTCTTGAAGAATGCAAAGACATCTTTATTAAGAAGGCAGAAGAAGAGAAAACCAAAATGGATGTCAGAAGAGACTCTGAATATTGCACTAGAGTGCTGAGAAGCCAAAGCAAAGGGAAGAAATCAAGAAGTTAAGGAGTTGAATAGAAGATTTCAAAGGGCTGCTTGGGAAGACAAGGCAAAAAATGTGCAGGGAGCTGGAGTCAGAAAATCAAAAGGGCTGGATTTGCTCAGCATTTCTTAAGTTGAAATAAGTAAAAATAAATTCAAGACATATGTTGCAATGCTTAAGTATGCTATGGGCAGAATATTGAATGTTTGAGAATCATTAAAAGAAGATGGAAGGAGTATACAGTCATTGCACCAAAAATAATTGGCTGACACAGAAAAATTTCAAGAAGCAATGGTGGTGGAGGAAGAACTTCTTTGAAGGACTTGGAAAAAAATAATGCCCCAGGAATTGATTTAATTTCATTTGACGTGTTTCAGCAAACAGATGCTGCCCTGCATGTGCTCACCAAGTTGTGCCAAGAAATTTGGAGGACAACTAACTTGGCTAACTGACTAGAAGAGATCCATATTTATTCTGATTCCAAAAAAAAAAAAGGTGACCCAATAGTGTGGAAATTATCAAACAGTATCACTAATATCACACACTAGCAAAATCCTGCTGAAGATTATCCAGAAAAGACTTGAACAGTACAGTGACAGAGAACTACCAGAAATACAAGCTGGGTTTAGTAGAGGTTGTGGCACTAGGGACATTATTGCCAATGTCAGATGGATCTTGGCAGAAAGTCTGTCTTTGTTTCATTGACTATGAAAAGACATGTGGCTGTATGGACCACAATAAATTGTGGCTAACCTTGAGGAAAATGTGAATCTTAGAACATTTGATCATGCTTGTATGAAATCTATACTTGGACCAAGAAGCAATCCTCAGAACAGAGCAAGGAAACACTGCATGGTTCAAAATCAGGAATGGAGTGTACCAAGGATGCATCCTGTCCCCATACCTTTTCAGTCTGTACATGGAACAGGTCATTAGGGGGGCAGTGCTTTATGAGGAGGAGTGTGGCATCAAGATTGGTGGAAGACTCATTAACAACTACAATATATAGATGAAACAGCCTTGCTTGCTGAAACTGAAGAAGACCTGAAGCACTTGCTGCAAAAGGTCAGGGACTGCAGTGTTCAATAAGCAATGAAGCTGAACATCAAGAAGACAAAGTTTCTCTCTACTGGGCCAATTGTCAACACCATATTAGATGGAGAAGAGTTTGAGGTTATTACCAATTATGGCTTGCTCGGATCCACAGTCAGGAAATCAAAAGATGGATTGGATTGGGAAAATCTGCTGTCATGGACCTCTCCAGAGTGCTGAAGAGCAACAGTGTCACTCTAGATAAAAAGATGAACCTAATCCAGGCCATAGTCTTCTCAATTACTTGTTATGTTTCATAGAGTTGGGCAATGACTAAGGATGACAGAAGAAGAATACATGACTTCTAGTTTGGTGCTGGAGAAGAGTCTTGAACATACCATGGACTGCCGAGAAAACAAATAGATCTTTTTTTCTTGGAGAGGCTGAAACCAAGTCTCTCCTTGGAGGCTAGGATTTTGAAGCTCTTGCCTCACTTACTTTGGGCACATGGCCAGGAGAGATTGGTCCTTGGGGAAGGACATCATGCTCAGAAGGGTGAACAGACAGCACAGGAGAAGGAGACTCCAGGTGAGATGGATTGATACAGTAACTGGGGCAATGATGGTTGGTGTGTCGGAATTAGTGAGACTGGCTCAGGACAGGGAAGGATTCAGAGCTGCTGTACATAGGGTCGCTATGCATTGCAGGTGATTCAACCAATACCATTCTGTGATAGGTTAGCAGGAGTGGCATCCCCTTCCTAAACAACATGCTTCTGGAAACTCTATGAATTTTGATATGTATTGATAGTTGTAGCGGGGCTTCAGGCCTTTTGTTCATAGGGTTGCTATGAATCATGCTTGACTCGAAGGCAATAATCAACATCAAGAAGTGATTTTTAATGATATTTGGGGAATTATGACTTATTTGGATTTCTTACACTTTAATGATAATATAAAAAATGATTTTATTGTTTTTTTTATATCCTAGTATGACTGTTAGATACTATGGAAAAGCATCCCATGCAGCTGTTTATCCCTGGGAAGGAGTAAATCCTTTAGATGCTGCTGTCCTCGCCTACAACAATCTATCTGTGTTAAGACAGCAAATAAAACCAACCTGGAGAGTTCATGGTACAAATGTTAAAACACATTATTTATTAAAGGCAGTTGGATGGATTTGAATGCAATTTTGTTTCTTAGTCATTAATTTAAAACATAAGGAATCGTTTTATGTGCCTAATGAATAAAATTTTTAGTATATGTACAGCTGAACAGAGCACCGAATAAACATGTTTAAATGTTTTTAGAAACTCATTTGACAGAATACTAGGGTGATTGTCTCTGTGTGGATAGGAAGACAGTTAAGATTATTTATACCTAAATGGTCCTCATTTGCATACCACAGATGATAATTTTATATACAGTTTTTTTCTGTACTTGAAAGTTAGAACTTGAGATTTCCAGCTGTTCTCACTATCTCTTAAGAGCAAAATTTCTTTTTTCCTCTTATTAAAAGATAAGTGTTAATCATAACCAGTATTATTTATTCAGGTGCTGATGATCATGAATAAACTCAAAACATATTTAAAAGTATCTTTATCACAATACAAATACCATGATGAAGCATTAAGTTAAACAGATTTTTATCTGTAATGAATTGTTCTCTAATATCAATTTATCTGATTTTGCTATCAGCTCAAGAAATTTATGATTATACTTTCCCCAGTTCTTTGTCTTAGTTTCTTTAAAAAGAACAAACAAAAATTAGAGGAATTATATGCCCTTAAGTAGGTCATATAAAAGTAGACTTTTAGTTATTAAATAAATAAATACTCATTCTTAGGATAGTTCCAAATAAGTAAATTTGTTTGATACCTAATAATACTTAAGTGATCTTTGACCTCATTTTTTTTTTCTTGGTATACAAATTATCCTCACGCTAAGGTGGTATTTAAAATATTTATGGAACTTTTGAGATACAAAATAATTGCATCACATACCATTAGATTTTTTTCTTTTTTTAGCATGTTGACGCAAATGATGGCTATAGTGAAAAAAAATGTGTTTCTAAGCACAGTCATCAATTTGAAAGAGTGCGGCAGCGAGTTAATGTAAAAAACTTATGGAAATGTAGTTTTAATAAAGCTTATTGAAATTACCTTCTAGAAAATTTAGGATTTACTTTTCATTTTTTTGGTAATTAGTTATATACATTCTAACAATTCTTTAAAGTATCAAATAATAATATCTTAATATTATGTAACTTTCTTAGAATAAAGTATATTCAGTATATTATTCTTATTAGTCAGAAAATATCATTCTGGAAATTTATGTCTTATATTAAAATATTTTTTATATTTCTGTGAAGTTACTAAGTTTTAATTCTTTTTTTTTTAATATATTGGCTGAAAACCTTGTTGGATATATGTAAGCTTAAAGAAATTATCTTTGAGCTCAATTTTAGTAATTTGGTTTTCTTTATAGGTATAATAAAAAATGGTGGTATAAAACCCAATATCATTCCCTCTTATTCTGAATTAATCTATTATTTCCGTGCACCCTCAATGAAAGAACTTGCAGTTTTGACCAAAAAGGCCGAAGATTGCTTCAAAGCTGCAGCTTTGGCTACAGGGTGCACTGTAAGAACTTTTAAAGTTAATCTATAGGTGTGCAAGTGGGTTGGGCTGTTTAATTTGAAAACCAACTTGACAGTGTTTTGAATATGCAAAAGCAGCTGACTGAGTAGTTAGTTCATTATTTCTCTGATGCCACAATCCGTAGGGAGTTGCATTGCTAATCCAAAGGTCAAACCTCTTTGGTGGTTTGAATCCACCATGAACTTTTTGAGAGAAAGATAGGTGGTGTCCTGCACTATTAGCAGCCTCTGAAACCCAGTGGATCAGCAGCTGTGAGGTAGTTCCAACTTGACAGCAATAAGATTTTTAGTTAGGTATATGTATGTGTTATCTGAATGATAGTGGTATTCACTGGACTTCCTTGTATGCGTATAGATATTATCCTGTCACTGACAATATTGTACTTCAAGATGGATCTAGCAATGACTTTTTTAACTATGAAAGCAAC